GATATCATTAGAAAATGAACAATATGCATAGTATCAATGCAATGGGACTTGCTGTTTTCAACAAGAATTCAAAAATATCATTTTTGACCATAAATGATTGTGGTTTTTAACAAGAAGAAAATATCACTTTTTACCAAAAATGACAAAAATATTCATCAAAATTAGAGAATTGAAGATATCATCATGAAATGAACAAATTTGAGAGTGGTCCATATGTAGTATCTATATATGTAATATCAAAGCAATTGGACTTGTGGTTTTTAACAAGAAGAAAATATCACTTTTTACCAAAAATGACAAAAATATTCACCAAAATTAGAAAATTAAAGATATCATTACAAATGAACAAATTTGAGAGGGTCCACATGTAGTACCTATATATGTAATATCAAGGCAATTGGACTTGCGGTTTTTAACAAGAAGTTGAAAATATCACTTTTTACCAAAAATGACAAAAATATTCACCAAAATTAGAGAATTAAAGATATCATTATGAAATGAACAAATTCGAGAGTGGTCCACATGTAGTACCTATATATGTAATATCAAAGCAATTGGACTTGCGGTTTCTAACAAAAAGTTGAAAATATCACTTTTTACCAAAAATGACAAAAATATTCACCAAAATTAGAGAATTGAAGATATCATTACAAAATGAACAAATCTGAGAGAGGTCCACATGTAGTACCTATATATGTAATATCAAAGCAATTGGACTTGTTGTTTTTAACAAGAAGTCTAAAATATCACTTTTTACCAAAAATGACAAAAATATTCACCAAAATTAGAAAATTAAAGATATCATTATGAAATGAACAAATTCGAGAGTGGTCCACATGTAGTACCTATATATGTAATATCAAAGTAATTGGACTTGGGGTTTCTAACAAGAAGTTGAAAATATCACTTTTTACCAAAAATGACAAAAATATTCACCCAAAATTAGAGAATTGAAGATATCATTACACAATGAACAAATCTGAGAGAGATCCACATGTAGTACCTATATATGTAATATCAAAGCAATCAGACTATTGGTTTTTTACAAGAAGTCGAAAATATCACTTTTTACCAAAAATGACAAAAATATTCACCAAAATTAGAGAATTGAAGATATCATCACAAAATGAACAAATCTGAGAGAAGTCCACATGTAGTACCTATATATGTAATATCAAAGCAATCAGACTATTGGTTTTTTACAAGAAGTCGAAAATATCACTTTTTACCAAAAATGACAAAAATATTCACCAAAATTATAGAATCGAAGATATCATTACAAAATGAACAAATCTGAGAGAGGTCCACATGTAGTACCTATATATGTAATATCAAAGCAATCAGACTATTGGTTTTTTTACAAGAAGTCGAAAATAT